GGGTGTATAAAACTCTGAACAAAGTCCTATTTAAGAGCATGGGCACAGAAATCAGACAGCATAGGTCTGCCTAATAATCTTCAATAACTGATAAATGTGGCATTGATGTCATTATCAGGACCTGCACTGCCAAGAAAAGCCTGCGAGAGGGTGAGGGGGTGGGGTATAAAACTCTGAACAAAGTCCTATTTAAGAGCATGGGCACAGAAATCAGACAGCATAGGTCTGCCTAATAATCTTCAATAACTGATAAATGTGGCATTGATGTCATTATCAGGACCTGCACTGCCAAGTCAAAAGCCTGCAGCTGCAAAGCACAACTCTCTTTGGTCCCTCCAGGGCGGGGGGGCCGGAGAGAGTGGTGGAGTGTGGAGAGGGGGTGAGGACACGGACCGGAGTATAGACCAGAAGGATTGCTGCAAAGGTCAGACTTGAAGCCTGGGTTTTGTTTAAGCTCTACAATATTGCCCTTTCAACTATAACAGCTGCCTTTAGGAACATGTTATTAAAATAACATCCCAATGCCCTTAAGCCTTACAAATCTGGGTTAATATGAAAGTTGCTGACTTGTAAACTGCTCCCTCGTCATTGAAGAAACTGTGGAGTGAGGTACGATCAGTTTGTGGAAATGCCACATTTCTCTCCACATGAGAGAATTGGAAAATGGATCAAAGAGGCTGGAAAAGATCACCTCATGGGAAACGAAACTGAATGAATTATTTGACAGTAAGTACTGTTTTATTTTAAAAGGAGGTAAACTCTGATGGTTATGAAATCAACCTTTGGAGCCAGACTGCCTAAGATCGAATCTTGGCTCTGCCATTTAAGAATGTTGTGACCTGACTGGTTATTCATCATTTTTCTTATCTGAAAAATGAGTGCAATTATTAAGGTAGTTTTGTAAGTGTTATTGGGGAACTAAATGTTAAAAATCTGTACTGAGCCCTTAGTCCAATACCAAGCTCAATAAATGGAAGCTACTATAATGATCTCTAATTAGTGTGCTTTAGTAATCATTGACAAACTTCAACCCTCTGTACTAGAAATAGATGCAGGTGAAGGAGACACTGAATTTTCATTTGATGCCTGTTTGTATTTGTTTACAATGAGCATGCATGGCCTTAATAAGTAGTTTTTTTAAATGGGGAAAAAGTTTGTTTGCCTTTCGCCTTACAAGGAATGACTGTGTAAGCCAGATGTTTGCATGAGTTGTGAGGTAGAAAGAGGGACAGAGGGTCCGTCACCTCACTCCTGAGGCCAAGTTCTTTGCCCAACAGTCTATTGATTTTTTTCCCTTAATAATTTTCACCAAATGATCTATCTACTTGGTGTTTAAATGCTTCTTTCAACTAAAGCATCAAACGACTGTCCCCTTTCTTCTCCTCAGGAATACTGGGAGCTCACTAATGAGAACACCGCTTGAAAGGAGCGTCAAGCATCTGCAAGCAATTAATTTCACACAGGGATTAATACACAGCTTTCAGAACTAAATTAATACATTTCATGCTTTAATTAGCAGGAGTCTTTTTACATGATACAAAGCAGTTTCACAATAGGACTGGGACGTTCCACTGTGCTGTTTGAAAGTTTTATCTGTTCCTAGTCCTATTCCCTAGGACTCCAAGGATGAAGCGTGTCAAGGATGAGCTTCTGGGAAGTCTTCTATCTGCACCAACAAAGGTTCCCAAGGTTCTATTTTAAAAAGGAACTCAAGTAACTTCAGGAGTTTTCAAAGCTAAAACCACAATCAATTAAGCCCAATCTTACCTCATCTACATAAAGTAGGCTATTGTAGCAAGAAAACAGAATGACTTTAGAGTCATTTTTAAAGAACTATTGCATGTGTTAAGTGATGCACAATTTCTATCAGCCTTTCTTTGTGATTACCTCAGTATCAGTATGAGAGCCTTTGGTCACTATTGGGGAAATAGCAATATCACAGGGATCTCCAATTGTTATTGGTTTGTTAGAGGATTGTTAAGTTTATATGGAATAAATACACATGTCCATAAAACATCACATGCTTCTAAAAAAGACTAAGAATTTTAACATAGGTAATTTGACCTTCAGCTCAAAGAAAAGTAAATGACATTGAACGTTGAAGGAGGTGGGAGGGATGGTGTGAGTGGTGGGGGAGCCCTGTGTGCTGTAATCCCCAGTAGCCCCCACAAAGAGGTGAGCACATAACGCTCCAGCCACTGGAGTTCTGACACGTGCCTTTATTCCCTTTAGAATGAGAATGTTCCATTCCTTGCCATTACTCCGTATAAATTGACAACAACAACAACAAAGTAAGAAATGAAACTAACAACGGCACCATTTTATTGCTTTGACTCCCTTCTTAATTTTTAAAATACATTCCACAGGCAGGGGCACCGCCATTGTTCCTTAATACAGGATGATTTCCTTCTTGTCATTTTATTTCTAATTTCTTGGGGAGAAAA